GAGGCTCCTCCCGCGCCCGGCTCAGGGGTGCCATTGTTTGCTGAGGGCCCCTAGGGCAGGCTGTGAACCCCCAGCATGGGGGTCACCCCGAGAGCTCCCCCAGGGCCGTGCCCGGTAACCTCTGCCTCCCCCCCTCGCAGATCGAGTACTTCAACAACCAGATCATCGTGGACCTGGTGGAGCAGCCGCACAAGGGCATCATCTCCATCCTGGACGAGGCCTGCCTGACCGGGGGCCAGGTCACGGACGCCATGTTCCTGGAGTCCATGAACACCAAGCTGGGCAAGCACCCCCACTACACCAGCCGCAAGGTAACGCCCCGTGGGCACCTCAGGGCCCGGGCTCAGGGCTGAGCCCCACCGGCTAGGTGGGCCAGGGCTGGGCTGCCCGTTGGGGGGAAGACAAAGGGCTCAGGAGTGGGAGGGAGACCGGGTCCTGCTGGGAGGGAGAGGCCCTTCTGGGACGGGGAGGGGGGGCTGTCTCAGGGAGCTCCTTGGATTCTGCAGGAGTGGGGCAAATTTAGCCTCCCTGTAACCTTAACCCTTTCAAGCCAGTGACCCCCTCCCCCGCCCCCACAGGCCCCAGTGCTTCTGAGTGGGGGCTGGAGGGCCGCTCACTGGTGCATTCTGGGTATACTGGTACCTCGGGGGGCTGCCCAGTTCGTTGGCCTGGCACTGGGTGTGAGTGCAGGTGGGAGGGGGGATTGCTGGGGCAAGGGGTGGTGCAGGGCAGGTGTATCAGAGTATGGGGTACTGGCCTGTCTGCGGCGGTGCCCAGAGGGGTGGTGGATACCCCCCCGATGCGTGGGCACCCGACGCTGGCTGCCTGTGCCCTCCCGGCTCAGCCCACCGTGTGTTCGCAGCTCTGCGCCACCGACAAATCCATGGAGTTCGGCCGGGATTTCCGCATCAAGCACTATGCCGGGAACGTCACGTAAGTCCTGCCCCTGCCCCCCAGAGTCAGGGTGACGCCCAGCGGGGAAAGGAGCGGGGTCCCACCTGGCCGCTTGGCATCTCTGTCCAATAGGGGCCCTGGCTGGAGAGAGGCTGACCTGGAGGGCTGGTGGCTTAGTACCAGTCTGCAGGGGTGGGAGACTGAGCCGGGCAGGCCGAGGGGTGGCAGGATTGTGCCCTGCACACTGGCCAGATTTCCACCTGCAGACGGTCCCAAGGGGTTGGTTTCTCAGCAGGTAGCTGCTCAGCCCTCTTGGAAACCAGGCCAGGTCTGGCCCCTCTGAGGCCTCTCCAGGCACAGCTCAGATCCCCAGCCCCTTGGCAAGCTCTTGGCCTGTATCGTCCAGTCAAAGCCAGGGGCTCCCCCTGCCCCGTCAGGAGACTTCCCCCCAGCCTGGCCGGGCTCACGGGCAGCAAGCGCTGACCTGTTCTGCTCTTTCTCTCCACGGCTCTCGGTAGCTACGGGACCCCCTCGGCAGGCTCGCGGCCTTCCCTCGCTAGCAGACCCCGCCGCTTGTCCCTCGCCCCGCTCTGCGGCCAGTTCTCAGCCCCTTTCCCCAGCAAGTGTGCAGCTCTTCTCCAGGCCCCGGTGATATTGGTCTTGTCTCTGGCCCGGCGTGCTGCTCCGGGGGCCTCTCCCCTCCCCGCCCCAGGATGCGCTGGGCTCTGGGCCCGGAGCTAGGCCGGCCGGGCGAGGGACTGTCCCGTGAAATTCTGGGCAGATCCCAAATGCCTCCCGCCGCTGATCCCAGGAGCCATCACGACCAGCCTCCTCCTAGCCCGGACCAGGCATCTCTCGGGGGGAGGGGTGCCCGGGTGGACTCCAACTCCGAGCATGTCACTAGAAGGGGAGACGAGCGTGCGAGAAGCCGGCTGGGGCGTAGGAGCCTCCTGACGCAGGCCCGTGGGGGAGGCTGCCCCCACGGCCCCTCGCACGCTGCATTGCCGTTCACAAGGAGAGCCGCCTCCGCAGGGCTGCTTGCTCAGAGATTCCAAGGCTCGTTGTTAGCTGGGCAGGGGGGAGGCCTGGGCCCTGTGTCAGGGGAGCTGGAGTGAGGCAGAGGAGTCAAGCCCACAGCCATGGTCCGGAGCGCAAGCACAGGACCCGGGCCATGTGCGCTTGGCTCCCTGGGGGTGGGAATGCACTGCTGGGCAGGAGCAGGCATCGC